TATCATGCTCGGATAGTCCTTGACATTTCATTGATATGATGCAGATCCATGTCACAGCGCAGCTGAAATAAAAGATCGCGTAGGATTTTAAAATGCTAGGTGTGATTTTATGGAGGGAGTACAATCTTTCAATCTGCTATAGATAGCGTGAAGTTTTGATTGCAAAAAATTCAAACGTAGCACCCAGTTCCTTGGGGGAGGGGACGGTGTGTCGTAAAGACGTACACTTGGCTTGAGGGTTCATGCTTTTGATGCTGATAAAAACATTTCTCTTGTACGACAAAACCAAAACAAATTACACCATTGATACCTATATTACTTGCTCTCTTAGAATATGATAGCTTTTGCATCAAAATCCACATTTGTGGAAAATCCATATCTGAATTAACCCCTTGGATCGGACCTTTCTTAGGTGGAGTGTAGGAATCGAGAAAAAATATTGCTTTAGTATTTCAACTCAAATTTAAGCTGAAAAGTCTAACATTACTTTAAAAATTAACTTCACGCACTTATTTTTAGAAATCGATAAAAACTATGGCGTTTATGAGAAGGAAAGGAAGGTTTTTTTGAGAGAAACTGTTAATTGATTCCACTTATTTTGCAATTTCTTTTTATCTTTATCTAGCAAGAAATAAGAAGAAAACGTTGCTGCAAATTTGCTAACTTGTGGCCCTGCCAGATCACATGCTAAAACAGGAAGAGAGCGATCGTACACAGCCAGTACCATAGATAACACAATTGGAGGTAAAAAGGAAGTCTCAATTTCAAAGGAATGAATGTTCATTGATCACCGCATCAATTTATATTGAAGTGAAAACAGAAAACGTAAGTAGTGATTTTAATGTGTTCTACTAAATACAGTATGTGTGGCGGTGTTGTATCCGATATACAAACTCGAGGCGTATAGTGTGTTTACACACTATTTAAGTATGGTCTACCCGTGCGACGGGTAGACCAACCTTTCATGATCATGATACCATATGAGGGAGCGACTTTTTCACTGCCATTGAAAGGACCTTTTTTATGCTTGAAAAGTCATATGTTTCTCTCAAAGCAAAGCAAAACAATAAATAAAATAAATTTAAAAAACTTAATGGACAAAAATGGTTCATGAGTCAGTTGATTATAAAAAAGGTCCTTTCACTAGATGTGAACTATCAAGAGAGCCACTATTTCACATCCAGTGAAAGGACCTTTTTGATTATTTGAAAAAAATATATTTTGATCAAAGCAGAATAAAATAAGAAATGAAAGAAATAAGGAGAAACAAAATGCACGAATCAGAGCAATACGAAAAATTAAATAAAATAGATACGAAGGAAAATAATTGACGAATATGGTTAAGGAGTTGATTAGCGCTTCGAAGGTCCTTTCACTGGATGTGAACTACATGAGGGAACGGACTATTTCACATCCAGTGAAAGGACCTTTTTTCATAACCGAAAAGTTATTTTGAACGATCCGATCCGAATTAATCACAAATAAAATGTCCTTTGGAATCGCTTAGCACTATGTAATCAGTCATGCATGATTATAGGATAGTTTGGAAGTTGTGTTATTGCATTGATCGGGATGGATGTTTCAAAAGGAAATGCATGCCGATCTACCGGCCATTTAGTATTTTGAAATTCTAGACAAGAGAAAAATATGACAAATAATTTGTCCTTTGGAATCTTGCTCCTTAATCTGGTTTAGAGAGTATCCCTTCACCTGATTTAAGAGTATCCATTCACCTGATTTAACAATCGTTTGTATTCACTCTGACTGCCGGACACGGAGTATTTCGAAATTTGTAATCGTTATTCGTGGAAAAAGAGTAATGCAAACATGTATATAAAACATTTTTGATTTTATTTATTGCATTTTTGTTTGAAAAGGAAATGTGTTTGAATTGTGAAGTAATCATTATTTTCCGCGAGCGAACGATGTGCAGGATCACCAGAAGACATGTTTATATCACACACTCCAAATATGTTGACCATTTACTCGTTTTGGACGGCTATTTTCCAAATGATCATTGTTCAAAAATGACCTCATGTACTTCAAAAGAAATTTCAGTTTCATATAGGATTGCTTCATGATCATACAGAATGAAAAGAGAAAGAATAACAGGCTTGGCTTGTGATTGAATGGAATGTTTTGAGAAAAAGGCTACATCCCGGGCGTAGAGTGCATCTCACGGCCCCCTCACAGACCAAATTACATACATTTATTGTATTTGAAGGGGTCCTTCTCCGCCCGGTATTTAGTCGTCCAATTTTGTATCTTGCCTTTACTTTTAAATTCTTTGGAAAACTATTCAATTTTTTAGTTTGCTATAACTTCTATTATCCAAACATTATAAAGAGTAGATCCTGTATGACTGTGTTGGACTAATTTAGTCCTAGCCTAACTTTCTGTTTGCGAAAACAAGCTGAAAAATTCATTTCTCCCGCCTGACTTTCCAGCTTGTCGTAACGGATAGAAAGTGAGTCTGGCACTAGACTAGGCACATACTTGCCGTCCCGTGATCTTCAGGAGAATAGCTTGACTTAAAGGGGATTTTAATGTTAGACGTAAACGCCGTAAAAAAAGGGGTTAACAAAATCTTTCGATTATCCATACTATATATAGGTATCATGCTCGGATAGTCCTTGACATTTCATTGATATGATGCAGATCAATGTCACAGCGCAGCTGAAAAGAGAGATCGCGTAGGATTTTAAAATGCTATGTGTGATTTTATGGAGGGAGGTCAATCTTTCAATCTGCTATAGATAGCGTGAAGTTTTGGCTGCAAAAAATTCAAATGTAACACCCAGTTCCCTGGGGGAGGGGACGGTGTGTTGTAAAGACGTACACTTGGCTTGAAGGTTCGTACTTTAGATGCTGATAAAAACATTTCTTTTGTACGACAAAACCAAAACAAATTACACCATTGATACCTATTTTACTTGCTCTTTTAGAATATGGTAGTTTTTGCCTCAAAATCCACATTTGTGGAAAATCCATATCTGGATTAACCCCTTGGATCGGACTTTTCTTAGGTGGAGTGTAGGAATCGAGAAAATATATTGCTTTAGTATTTCAACTCAAAATCATGCTGAAAAGTCTAACATTACTTGTAAAATTACATTGACGCGGTTATTTCTTAGAAATCGATAAAAACTATGGCATTTATGAGAAGGAAACAGTTAAAGGCTACTTTGCGAGAAACTAGTTAATTGATTCCACTTATTTGACCATTTCTTTTCATCTTTATCAAACAGGGAATCAATAAAGAAAATGCCTCGTGCTAGATTACAAGCTGAAACAGTAAATTAGAGCAGCGTTTAGTTACCATCGTACCGCAAAAGGGTGAAAAAAGTCCGGCTTTGATCCAAAGGGATGGATATTCTGTACAGTAAACCTGTAATAATGCAATTCAAGTGAAAACAGAAAATGTGAGTACTGATATTGATTTGATTCCAAAAATATAACTGCATGTATTTGTTTATTATTGCCAATTTAAAAGTATCGCTTCCTGTGATGTAACGAAAGCAAAATGTGCCACAGGGAGCCCAACTGTTCCGAGTCAACTTAGAAACGAGATTGTGACTTTACGCCGTCATACTCTTCCATCCTCCACGATAGCAGAAAATTATCTACGTGCGCAAGTAGCCAGAGCTCCAAAGTCGTTGAAACTTTTTATTTGGAGCTCGCAGTTTATGTTCAGCCGGAGAAATTAAGAGGTTCTCCGATGAGTGCGCGCTTATTCAGCGAAAAGCTCTTATAAGGGAATGTATGTAAACACAACAGGGAGTTTGACAATTTCTATCGCGATTTGATTTCAACGTACTGCAAAACCGAATTTTCTTGACCGTATTCGATAGGGGAATAATGTTCGACAATGAATTTCCAGCTGCATTACAGCTATCTAGTATTTTTCACACCCCCTAGAGGTTAGGCCTGTGTTCAAGAGCATGGATGTGGATGGTCCGATAGTCCACATTCAAATCTGCCGTCATCTTCTTCCATCCTGCACGATAGCAGCAAAGTAAACTCTCTACAATGCGCAGGTAGCCAGAGCTTCAAAGTCGATGTAAGAATAAAATTGCAAGTATCGTAATTGAAAAATTAAAAGAAAAAGCTATATATCTGTTTTGGCACTCGTATAATGTGCGCAAGTTCAAAGGCTTTTTATTTTCCACTAAAAACATAAACAACATTTACTAAAGGCCACTATAGTAAGCTTATGGACGAGGAAGTTGGGGATCCCTGGTTGTTATCTAATCAAAATATGCTAATCATTTTATGTCGAAATGGGTTGCCTGTGGAGTGCAGCAATCCAAGATGGCGGACAAGGTTGACCAAAATCGTTCTTAACAAATTTATCAAATATTACAAAAATGCATGAGTTTAAACTATAATAATTAGTATCATGGCATTTTTGAGCACTGCATGGCTGTCTGGGTATGTTGCAACTACATTAGTACGGCGTGCTTTTAGCAGATTTTATCGCCATTTGACGACTACAGAACTTGAACATCGTCCTCTGTCTGACATCCATTATCAACCTTCAAGGATAACTAGAATGAGTACTAACGCGGTTAAAACCAAACCACCAAACATTCTAGTCTATGCTGGTAGTGGAGAAGAAGGTGGAAGGGATTTCGAGTTCATCAAGGATGTTTTATCACGCATTTTGGACAGGAATAGCTACGTAGTTTATCAAATCGATGATGACAAAGTTCTTCATCACCCTTGGTCGAAAAACTCTGTTTTATTACTAATACATAATACACAGACAATACAAAAGCCGATTCTCAGGAAATTTGAAGAGTATTTGGTTAACGGGGGAAGTATTCTCAGTGTTGGTTGTAAAGATCATGAAAACTTGAGCGGATTATTGGGGGGAGTGACATTGAAACCTTTGGATTTGAAGTGCAGTGATGATTGTACAGTTGAGATCATTACTGACAGACTGGACATTCCATTGAACCAAGTTGATATTCCGAGTGAACCATTCTTCTTTGAAGGTATGAGAAAAGACTTTTTAGCTTGGGTGTATAAATGTTTTTCCATTTCAGACCATGTGCAGTGCTGTTGAAAAATACATATTTATCTGTCTTCTCATGCTCAACTGTTAAACAAAGGAATCATACTTAAGAGAAAGATAATGGTCCAAAGTGGGAAAACATCAAGTCTTGGATATAAAGAGGACTCTCCAAATAATATCTTTTTTTGAATCTGTTCGTGTGACCTTCACAAAAACAATAAAATGTGCTCTATTTTATTCCAGGTATGAGTGACACATTTGAAGTGTTAGCAAACAAGAAAGGGTCTGGTCGACCAATGATAGTGTATTCTTGCAACCAGCAAAGCAAGGCTATCTTGTCTATAGTAGACCTGTTCACATCAAACCATGTTGAAAATAAAAGACAGTTATTGCAAGCTTTATTGAAGAAACTAGATGTGAAATGTGTTTCACAGCAAATACCATGTCTCACTCCAGCATTTTTATTTGCCAGCAAAAAGGTAAACTTGCAATCTAATAGACCTCTTTACCTTCGTTGAAGAAAACGTGTGCGCGTGTTGTGTGCTGTCATAAAGCATGCGGGGGTTGGCAGAACATGAGAGAAGTGTTAGGAGAAGCACGACGCGTAGCGGCACTTCTCGAGTGTTCTGCCAATCCCCAAGTGCTTTATGACTGCATACATCACAGCAAGCAAGTTTTTTATTTCTTTTATAAAATACAAATTACAATAATAGATAGGAATGACGCAACGGAAAGTGTGCGTGTGTGCAATGTGCTCTCCTAAGCACGCACTTCAAACCAATCAGAACGCGACATTCATGACAGTTATTTTATGAAAGCAAATGACACATTTCAGATCATGTGACATTCCCCTGAGAATTGTTCTTTTATGACGAACATGTTAAAATATTTAAAAATAAAAGAATCAACTTCAAAGAGTGGCATCACATGATCTGAAATGTGAACAACAAATAATGAAGCTATGAGGTCTATTAATGTCATTTACAGTGTATTGAATAAACCTCTTTGCCGGTTGGGCATAATGTTTTCCCATTCCAGATCATGTGTCATTGTCTTGAGAATAAGATTCTTTGTTCAAGTTTTAACCACAATTTTGTGTCTTCTCCTAACAACCATCAAACAAACAAACAAAAAAAAAACAATACTCTAGGGAATGATACATGGTAATAATAATAATAATAATAATGATAATAATAAACTCTTCATTTACTGAGGATAGCACTAAATAGCAATATGCTAACAAACCTGTGGCCTTCTAATATATAAACTATGAAGATATGTGTATGTATATGTGTCTGAAATGGGAAATCATTGTTAAATCAGATAAACATGTGATCCACAGAATATTGACCAGCTATTGAAATCCTTACGCCCCCATCTGTCTGATGGCATTTGTAAAGGAAAACAAGTTTCTTTGCTGTTTTGTGACAAAAGCACCACACAAAATATTCCTTTGACAAGAGAAGACATGCTGCCAGTAAACACTGACCATGCTGCACAATGTGGATTTGATTGGGAGATATATCAAGAGCATCTTAATACGAATACTTTGGGACAGATGGTCATATACACTGATGTTATCCCATCTACACAGACTCTACTAGAAGGGTAAGTTTGTCTCCTTCTTCTCCTTTTCCTTCTTCTCCTCCTCCATTTCCTTGTCCTTCTCCTTTAGGGCAGTCACCAGGGGGAGCACAGGGTACATGTCCACCCCCCATAAAAGCTTAAGATCCGTTTTTTTTTTGGCTACCTTTTTTTTTGGCATTGCAAATCATTGCCTGTGCACCTCCACTGCAAGATCCCTGGTTACGCCCCTGTCCTTCTAATCTTTCCCTTCTCATTCTCCTCCTCCTCTTCATCTTTGATCTTCATCTTCTTTCTCCCATTCTTCTCCTTTTATTCTTTTTCTTCTCCTGCTCTTCCTCCCTTATAGTCCCTCCATCTCCTTCTCTGTCCTTTTTTTCCTTTGAGTTGCCTCCTTTCATATCCACTTTCTCATTCTCCTTCTCTTCTTCTCCCTCTATTCATTTTTTCTCCTTCTCATGCTTCTACCCAAGCTTCATGCATATTAGCTCCAGACTTAAGGTGTTGTTACTCAATGTATTACAGTATTTTAGTTATTATGTGATCTAAAACTTAAACTTGCTGTAGGAACTTGACATTTGTGCAGAATATCCCAGAGCAGATTGGTATTGTAGCTGTAACCAGACAGCAAGTCAAAGGGAAAGGTAATTCAGCCAATGACAAGATATAATGTTATACTGCATGTTAAACAATCTAATGCATTTACCATTCCTTGTTGGATCATAGAATAATGCCTAATGTTGGGCTACCTGTGGCAGCTTCTGCCCAGGTCCATGTTCATCATCATTAATCATTATCTAATACAATTCAACATCATTTTGTCTTATTACTTAGGTCGCAGTGGGAATGCATGGCTGTCTCCCATTGGTTGTTTGATGTTTTCCACAGTTGTCACAGTAGAGTTTGGTACTGAACTTGGTTCACGATTACCATATCTACAACACATTGCATCCTTAGCTCTGGTCGAAGCACTCCGAAGTGTAGAAGGATATCAAAAGATCAATGTTTGTCTTAAATGGCCAAATGATATATATTATGGGAGGAATGTCAAGATTGGTGGAGTCGTAGTGTCGTCTACGGCATATGGCAATAGTTTTAGTGCTGTTATTGGTAGGTCATTTTATAAGTGCTTTTATTTTTTCTTCCTTTTTAACCTTTTAAAAAATTGTTAAATATATGCAAATTATATATATAAATTATATTTTACAACCACCACTCCCCGTACAGAGCTCTTGCATGAGGTTCCCTCCACACGCACTTACCACTACGTTCTATATTTACAACATACAAAACTCGACTCCAATGTTGCTTTTTACAGAGGGAGGAAACCGGAGATCACGGAGAAAACCCTAGTGTGGCAAGGGAGAGAACAACACAACAAACAAACTCAACTCACATATGATCCAGTCTGAGCCGGGAATCGAACCCACAAGGCAACCAGTGTAGATCAATTTGGAAGTTGATTTTTGTGGAGAGAGGAAAACCAGAGAACCCGGAGAAAAAAATCCTCAAAGCACAGGAGAGAACAATCAAACAACTCTAGGGCATAGCTTGGCATGGCTCAAACCTGGGTGGTATTTGTGAGAGGCAAGCAAACTTACCCTTAATTGTGCTTAATCCCATAGTAAACCAAACAATAAATAGTCACACTAGCTTGTATTACGTATATAATGTAGCTGAAGTATTAATATTTGATGGGTATATTGATTACAGGTATGGGTGTAAATGTATCCAATAAAGAACCAACGATTTGTATCAATGACGTAATAAAACAATATAACGAAGAGAACAACACACACCTGGCTGAACTATCTCTGGAAATGCTGCTAGCAAGAACAGTGACTTGTATGGAAAATTTGATTGTTGACTTTCAAAAACATGGAAAGGAAGGATTCTTAAGGAAGTACTACAAATGGTGGCTACATAGGTATGAATGAAATGTATGAAAGATAATAGAATAATATTAGTGATGATTACAATTTATTGATTGTAAATATCTTCTTTGATGACCATAATTGTTTATGATTTTAAAAAGAATATTTGGTGTCATCAGTAATCATTAAGAGATCAGTGATGATGGTAGTGATAAATGGTACTGTCACTGTTGTTTAGTGCAGTTTTCGTATGACTGTGAAAAGCTCAGTGCCGTATGCAGACCTTGCCGTGACTGTGATGGTTTCTAGAATTTTTATTTGCTGATTTTTTTCTCGTGCAATGTGATTGGTTTGACAGTGCCTTGACCTTGTGTGACCGTGTCTGCGCCGTGTTTATGCCGTGTTCCAGTTATTTGATTGGATGGAGAGTAAATTTTTGAGCAGTATGATTGGTCTGGCGTAACCCTTGCCGAGTCACGACAGTGTTTGTGCCGTGAGGTTTTCACAGTCATACGAAAACTGCTGACAGCTCGTTTATGATACAGATGAATGACAGCAATTGTACTGCATGAGGAAGATATGTCTATGGTTAATGATTATAATGTGTGATTACACATAACTGTCATTGTTGTTTATTTATTCTAGTGATTCCAAAGTCACCCTGAACACAGCTGGTCATCCTCAAGAAGTTACCATCATTGGTTTGGATGATTTTGGTTTTCTTTTGGTCCAGAAAGAAAGTGGAGAAAAACTATCAGTCCAACCAGATGGAAATACCTTTGATCTGTTGGCTAATTTGATTGCATTCAAATAATGTGCGCCTCCAGACCCCTACCTTCTCCAAGGAGGGGTGTGAGAGGGTATATATATGAGATAAATAGTTCCTGGTGATGTTCAGCAACACTCCTCCATGAAAGGAGGGTGGTTGTTGAATGCCAGACACACCACCCTCCCTTATGCCAGGAATAAATTTTATAATTTAAAAACACTGTCAGTGATAAAAAAGAAATTATTAAATAGCATAGAGTGTAGATTTTAAGAAATTTAGCAAGACATTTTTCAGCAGTGAAAGGAGAACTAGGAAGTCTAGAATAGATGTGATAGCCATGATGGCATTACTAAGGCCATTAGTATTGAATGGGATATAAACCAATAACCTACCACACAAAACACTGATATAATATAATAAACTTTATTTACAGAGGGTGAAGCAATAAACCAGTGAATTATCTAACTTTTGGTCCTCACTACAACTGGGTTGCAGAAAGATGTACGTATCAGTCAATCAATCAATCAATCTTTATTGTGCTCAATAGTTTACAGATATAAATAATAATAGTTGAAATTGCAGGWGATAAGAGCACAGCCAATTAGAAATAGCAATAGCTAATCGAGCTAAGTGGCTGGTCCATGCGGAGAAAATCTATTTGTTGCTGATTGACTAAAGCAATGGATAAGACAAGACAAGACAAAAACAAAARACGACAAGACAAGATAAGCCGGTGACAAGACAAGACATTAGACAAGACAAAATGGACTGTGCTCCTATCAGCTGGACTAGAAGTGCATCATAGAACTATCAATAATTTGATATTATAGAGGCTTTAAGATTTTTTTTGAAAAGGTTGTAATGCTTTACTGCTAAACTAATACTAGGATTTGTATACTCTACAGTGTATTCATCTTTTGGGTACACAATTGCTGGTGCTATAAATGCTAAAAGGCCAGGCGAGCTTAATACAGTGTAGCTACTACTATGAAAGTTGAAACAAGTGCATTGCTGATGCAACATGTGTTTTAATGTACAAATGTACAAACTAGATAGATAATCTGACCAGAAATGCCTACGTAATAACTCACGCTTACATAAGACCTCCCATGAACCTGACATGCCCTCCTCTACATAGTCTAGATTTCTATTAAAGGGTAGTCAACATCTACTCTGACCTCAGTAATGACAATGATGTAATCATTAGGCTATTGCCATCGGAATATTGGATCAATTTGAATATATATATGTATGAGTTATATGCCACAACACCCATATCATGACATGAATCACAACCCCACACTTTCTAAGAAAACTGTGTCCTTGTTTTCTAAACTAACTAGGGCAATCTTGTTTAGCTAAACTGTCACATCAATAAAGTATAATGCCCTTTCAAGTTTATAATTGTTTGTTTCTAAGAATCTAGATAAATAACTAAGAGTATGAATCACAACTGTTAAGTGCTTGATGGCACATAGTTCAACATCAGAGGTGTCTAAATGTTAATCTACAGTTCTGTAGATCTAATCGAGATGCTGTGATGGTTAAAGCAGCCACGACATTGTTTTGACAAGAATATACCATATGTGGTTGACAGTGCTTTACAACACAGAAGATTGATTATATTAAGGATGTCTGTCCATACTGCTCAGCAAGGGTGAGTTTTCATCTACTTTATTTATTTTTGAATGACCCTTGTGTTTTTGCAGCTGATCATTTGACTCATCAACAGATGATGATTTTGGTTTCCAACACGAAAAGAAAAATGTGGCAAGTTTTTTCTGAAATTTTTCAGTGAAAAAACAAAACAGCAAAAAATTGGCAAATCCTTGGGCACTGTCTCCAATACCCTAAAATGAAATGAAATATTTAAAAAATATTGGCAACTACAGCTGGTGATTTTTGCAAGTTACTGTGATTTTCAATATTCAGCAAACTCAGACATTTCATTAGCCTGTTATGTAATTGTTTTTTTACTGCCACCAGTCAAGAATATAAAAGGTACTGACTGACTGATTATTTTTGTAAAAAATCAAATTACAGCATGCAGCTCAACTACCAAGTTCACAGAATATGGAAAACCACAGTAACTCTGAAGCCAATGACCCTAAAACAATATCTGGGGTGAACTAAGTCAGGGCATGGCTAAGTCACGGATCGAACCCTGAAACAACCTCTGGGCTGATCTAAGTTGGGGCATGGCTAACTCACACATCAAACCCTGAAACAACCTCTGGGCTGATCTAAGTCAGGGCATGGCTAACTCACAAATCAAACCCTGAAACAACCTCTAAGCTGATCTAAGTCAGGGCATGGCTAACTTACAAATCAAACCCTGAAACAATCTTTAGGCTGATCTAAGTCAGAGCATGGCTTACTCATAGATTAAAATAGAATTTAGGGTACTGGGTTTTGCAGAGGGAGGAAAGCTAACCTGAAAGAAACCCTTTGAATCAAGGGAGAGACCCACCAAACTCTACTTGCATGATGCTGAGTCCACGAATCAAAGCTGAGACTCCAGCAGCTAGAGGCAAGAGCTCTACTGACTTAATTCCTGCTTATTTAAATTAATCTTATGATAATATTGAACAAATCTTACCTGCAGATACACGAGGAAATCTAACTTTTGTTGATCAAATTGTTCTGGCTGTTGTACCTGGAGTAGGATGAAACGTAATGTACCCCACATGCGTAGGAAGATAAATATCACAGGAACCAAGGTCAGCTTTCTTTCAGCCCTGATTGCTGACTGCTGGGAAGTATCTGAATTGAAATGTCCACCTCCACGTGTTATCTGTAGGAAATAATAAGATATTTAATGGTAAGATTGCCCCCTTTGCAATATTCTGAATGATTGAGTGTCTGGTCACAAACAAATAGTCTGGGTAAACATTCAAGTACATGTATTAATATCAAATGTATTATTTTGTTAGTGATCACTCAACCAAAATATACATTGCTTGCAACCCCCCCCCCCC